TGCAGGCAAACTGCCCAGGACAAGCTGCTCGGAGAGAGGGACAGGGAGAAGGAGAGAGTGCAGAGACTCCGATTACAGGGCGCAGACAACAGCTCCTCCCATCCATAATGACAAGCAATCGCAATCTAAGGACAATTTCACTGCTAGCAGTCTGCAAGCAATCCAGGCTAATTCTTATCACCTGGGAAAGGCCAGAGATTTGAACCTGCTCCCCCCACAGCAATCTGATGTGGAGCTTGAGCTTCCCAAAGCCAGCGCTCCAGTCCATACCAATGCCGACTGGACCCCCGTGTCTGTCCTCTGGACGGGCTGCAGATCGGCCCCCCCACGGCGAGCGGAGCCAATCGCCGGGCTCCTCTCGTCGGCAGGTACTCACGGTTGGCAGGGTCGTAGGCGTTGTAGGTGGCGGAGAAGCCCTTGTCCGTGTACGACTCGTCGGAATGGAACTTGATCTCCAGGGTGTGATTTTGGCTCGCCAAGGCCAGGAGAGAGCGTTCGCCACAGTACCTGACGCAGAGGGGGGACAGAGCAAACTCCAGGTCACACAGATCCTTCCCACGACTCTCGAAACAAAACTCTCTGTAGACCAGGATGAAGACTGGGACCATCTCCTGGCCTGTGGGGGAAAGCGCTTTCCCCACTTCCTGAATGTTTCATGTTCAGCGGCTACTTCTTCTCCGATGTGGCTGGTGGACAGGTGGACAAATTGGGATTGCCAGTTCTAATCCTGGCTGTGCCAGTGGGCATCTAGGAACCGGGACCCAGGTTTGGACAATGCCTAGCTTGGGAGAATTGAGCCAGCTGCCCAGTATTTCCACTCGGACCCACGTCCGCCCCCTCTGTGTCAGTGCGGGGCAGGAAGGCTCCTCCATCTCCCACCACTCTCCTGCCCTGACAGAATGAGTGCAGTGATGAACAGAGACCCCTTGAAATCCCAACAGGCGATTCCAAATCCGGATCACACAAAAAAACTACTTTTGGTTGTAACCTGCTCCTAGTCAGGGGTCAATCGCCTCGGAAAGGATATCCGTGACGCTGTTAGAATGGTGCACTGTGGGAAACTCTTACTTCCTCCCCAGGATCTCGACATAGTCCTTCTGGCAGAGCCGCGTGTCCAC